TAGATTAGAGGGAAGGCAGCTAGTCAACACTACCCACCGCCACATCTTGAGCTACTCTTTTACCAACGAATAGTTGGACTGACCGTCTCATTATAACGACCCGACAACTGAAAAGGCACAGATTGCGAGTCAAATGCCTTAACCACCAGATGTATTTATTCATATGTATGTACACATATGTAATATTCTTAGGCGAATTGATTTCCGCTTAAATATCAGACAGATCTGTTTAACGGGAAGATTGAGCAGGCAATTTGTAATCTGAATCTGAAAACTCGGCTGAGTGTTGAGATGCGTGTGAAATATAAAGATCGGGCACGTATGAAGGACAGCATACCAGCACAGACAAATGGACGATCGCCTCTTCTGAATTAGTGGATAGATCGTCAGCTTTCTGTTTCTTAAAATGAATCTTTGCCGAATGAAACCCAGGAAGAACTGAACGAGAATAAAGGTTTGGATTTTCCAAGAAAGCCCCTATCCTTTTTGTGGCGATGGTGTCATTCGCCCATGACATTTGGCTGCTGTGACATATAGACATCATACACTCGGTCAGCAAAGAACGTTGCAGTCCTTAAATTTTCAGCACAGCTGTTCTGCAATATCTTCTCGAGCATAGTATATACAGAGAACAAAAGGCACAAAGGAAACTAGAACGAGGAAAGTTTAACGGTTTTCTGAACCACGTATTTATGCTAAAACTGTATAGAAAACAACTAAACGAAACATTTTAATACTTCCTAGATTAAATAAAAACAGGTAGTAAGCGTGTGATATGCCAGCATGTCACACATAAGTAGATATGAAACACTACTACCAATAAAATTAAAAATTGTTGTTAAAACATTCAAGTAGTACTTTGAGAACCATATATTAAGTTTTTCATGTAAATCTCATTAATTTGTTGCGTATTTTCGTAAAATGAAACTTTAGGCAGTTGGAACGCCAACTTGAGAAAATAAGTCAATCAAAGCACTCTCATTTGTCTGAATGTAATAATATTCTACGTATGTGTTATATCATTTTTTAAACAGCAAACTGTATGTGGCCAGTAATATGTTGGCGAGGTTGTGGGTTTGAGAACCTACTTTCCCCCCCAGCTAACACATGACGTTTCTACAACGTTGCTGAACTGTTGTGCATTGGTAAAATCTACAACGTCATTCATTATATATTGTGTCAACATTGTGGCACTGTTAGACGTTAATGGTGAATATATATATATATATATATTAATGGACTTTACTAATGCACAACCATTCAGCAACGTTCTAGAAATGTCATGTGTTAGCTGTTGTGATTTTTATCTAAAATTTATATAAGTTAGCAATAATTGATTTTTTTCTATTTCTGTTGAGTATTAAATGTCCTCCAGTGAGTCAGAGGTAAAATTCAGGGTTAATTTCCCCGTGGTTGACAGAGCGTAGATATCCTAATGTGTAGCGTTGCACTAAAACAAATAAACAAGTGTGTTAAATCTCATGATACCTTATGATGGTCTTCTCAAAATGTTAAGATAGCTAAATTTGGTTAGTTAGACTAGCCTGGTGTCTCAATATTAGGGGCTGCTCTTTTACCAACGAATAGTGGGATTGACCGTCACATTATAACGTCCCCACGGCTGAAAGGGCGAGCATGTTTGGTGGGGATTCGAACCCGCGACCCTCAGATTGCGAGTCGAGCGCTTTAACCAACTGGCCATGCCGGGCCTTAGTGAATGTAAAAAAAGAGTTGGCGGTAGGTGGTGATGACTAGCTGCCTTCCCTCTAGTCTTACACTGCAAAATTAGGGACGGCTAACGCAGATAGCCCTCGTGTAGCTTTGCGCGAAATTCAAAACAATACATTCACTAAAATTATTTTCATGTAAAAACATTTTAAGGACCACATATCATTCAAAAACAAACAAATAAGATTAAGTAGTCACTATATTGTGAAAAAACGTATTGCGTGACGTTTAAAATATTAAGCACAAAACTACACAATGGGCTATCTATGCCTTGCCCACCATAGGTATCGAAACTCGGTTTCTAGCGTTGTAAGTCCTCAGACATATCGTTGTGCCGCTGGGGTGTGTGTAAATGCTTGACTGACCTTGAATTTAGGCACTTTACAAGCCAAAAGTGCTCTATATTTTTATTTATATAATATTTCTTCTGTAAAAGTTTGGTTTATTTAATTCAAATTCATAGTCAACAAAATATTGGGTATTAATGAAATAAATATTTTATTACTGGTTTCTTCACTACACTCCTCTTTTACGCGATTCGGTTCCCCTGGCACTACTTCAGTTAAAATTTCTCTACAGAGTCAGTCGCTTGTGAGAAAGGTAAAGATTTAGTTTCAACAAAACTGAAACAAACGTGTAAGTGTATCCCAGTTATCCATAGAAAAAACCGTTTACTTAAGAATGCATTAAAAATACGTTAAGAAAAACAAGTGCTTTCAGTAGTAAAGCAGGTTGATAGACAGTTAGACAATACATCTTAGCTACTTCCTGTCAAGTATATAAATAAATGAACCCAGTTTCAGCTTTGTGAAGTAAATGTCATGTTTCAACTTTGCGCTAGTAAGTAGGCTTATGTCAAAAGTCGTAAGGGAAATCAAGTCTTTACGGGAACGTATATATATTTCTAGAAAAAATGCTACGAATGCTATTAAACAAAGGAATCTCGTTGGAATTCTTCTAGTGTATCCCCATAAGCTGTTTATGTTTTGTTTTCATATAAAGCCTATTAATTTTATTTAAAATAACTCAAATTATACCAGATTTTTAAAGCGCTCTGTTATACTAGTAAAATTCTAAAAAATTTAACAATCACTACTTGTCTCCTAGCAACAGGTACAAACAAGAATTCTATATATATACACACACACACAATACATATTCCAATAACAATATTTCAGCAACGTAGTCAATATGAGGATATATATACACGCCCCTAGTCTCCAGTAATAGCGGTATATTTATCTGCTTGACGAATACATCACTGGCATTCGCTAGTAAACCGAGCACACAGAAACAGTAAACAGACAAAGGTAAACCCCGCGCTTTCACTGAAAGGTACACGAGTTAATCGATTTTTTTATGTTTATTCTCGACATGAATAACTGATTTAGGGAAATTATATTTTTTCTCCTTTTCGATTTAAGATAATTACGAAAAATATAAAACAATAATGTTAGACGTCACACATGCGCTGTTAATAAAAAATCACATAAGCCATTTTATTTTAACAAAATAGTTTAATAGATATAGACTGATTAAAATTTAGATTAGATAATTTGTGTTGAATGATTGTGATGGTACTCATATTCATCTTGACCCCCAGTGGCACAGCGGTATGTCTGCGGATTTATAACGGTGGAAACCAGGTTTCGATACTCATGGTGAGCAGAGCACAGTTAGCCCATTGTATAGCTTTGTTCTTAATTTCAAACACGCAAACATATTCGTCCCGAACTATGAAATTTAAGATTATAGTAATCAACAACATATTTGTCCCGAACTATGAAATTTAATATTATAGTAATCAACAACACCCACGCAAACATATTCTTCCCGAACTATGAAATTTAAGATTATAGTAATCAACAACACCCACGCAAACATATTCGTCCCGAACTATGAAATTTAAGATTATAGTAACCAACAATACCCAAGCAAATATATTCTTCCCGAACTATGAAATTTAAGATTATAGTAATCAACAACACCCACGCAAACATATTCGTCCCGAACTCTGTAATTTAAGATTATAGTAATCAACAACACCAAGGTTAACAACCGAATATTGATCTCCATTTACTTTTTCTTAGAACATAATATGAATCGATAACCTAAAAGGGAGTCATCATTCAAGCACATTGTTGTTGAAACATTCTTTGAAATTAAAATGTCCAAGGACAAAGTAACTGTCGCTATTTTCTCACAAGTCAATGATAAATAAGGAATGATTCTACTAATTTAGCACAATGTTTTTCTTAAGATGTTTTGTAAGTATTTTAATTTTGGGGTCAGAATGTAGTATTGAAAATTTAATATAACCATCAAACATGAAAATGATGTATAATTGAAATCGTCACGTAAAAGTTGAATGTTCAATATATATTACTATTTCATGTAAGTTTAACACAGAGACATTTGGTCAATAAGTTTATAATAGAATTTCCAGTAATTAACTTTTCTAGTAAACTTCATGAGCATACGATTTAGTTAGAATTTTAGGTTTGAAAATTCAGCAATTACTCTAATCATCTCTGTTTTTTCAAAATGTCGCTGATTTATAATCGAGTGACAAAAAATTAAAATACATTAGAAAGGAATAAAGTTGGAGAGAAATTCTACTTTATATTAAACACCTATAAAATATTTTTTTTTGACAACTTTATACAATAACTTCGTGGTTCCTAAAACTAGTGTTTCTCCAGTTTAGTAGTGAATCAAATAAATATTTGTAATTCATGTTAGAGGTAGCAATATAATTCTCACCACCAGAAAATGGGATCGAATCTTATCCATGAATATCCAAAAAGGCTTGTCAATGGATTATCCCTGAAATTTATTTATTCAATTTTGATACCAATTTTACAGTTAATTAGTTTATTGAGTGTTTCACTGGAAATGGAACAGTTTAAAAAGGCTAGGCTAATGGAGTAAGTGTCACGCAATATTCTAATTTAGCACGTGGTGTGTTGCAAATTCAAAAAGAAGCACCGTTAACGTGAAAATTGTGTAGTTTTATATATAACGGTGATAATATACAATAAAAGATTCTATATAGGTTGATGGAGTAATAACGGCCTTCTTACCTGTTGTAAAAATAATTTCATGAGTTAGATATTATGCTTGATGAAGAGCGCTTAAAAGCTTATGGATTTAAATACATTCTTAGTTTAAAAAAATAACTTTTACCTGATTGTACTTACTTAGTTCAAAATTACCTTTAATATGTATGTTAATTGGAAATTTTAGCTTTGTGAGAATATGAATATTTCTCTGAAATATTTTAATGTTTTTTGTTTAGTATGGCCTGTGTGGGTATAGATATTGTGTGAACTTTCATACTATTTTGGATAGATATTGATACAAATGATTCTATGAAATTTTCCTTTGTTTGTTTAGTATGGATGAATATATCTGTGTAAATGTTCACAATGTTTTTGATTGGTAAGGATGTAAATCTTAATCGGAGCTTTACACTGCTTTGGTTTGATATATAATTGTTCATATTAAACTTTATTTAAATCTTTGGTATAGTGTGAATACAGTTTTTTCTGAACTTTTGAAGTGTTTCTTTTATTTTCACATATTTCACTGAAATGTTCAACGTAAATTTCTGCTTTGAAATTAATGTTTTTTTCTTCTCTGAGCTTTTACCTTATTTTACTTTATATGGATATGAAATTTATGAACTTTTGCACTGTTTTAACTTTGTATGGAAAATGTTTTTCTGAACTTTTACCTTATTTTACTTTATATGGATATGAAATTTATGAACTTTTGCACTGTTTTAACTTTGAATGGAAATATTTTCTCTAAACTTTTACCTTATTTTACTTGATATGGATATAAAATTTATGAACTTTTGCACTGTTTTAACTTTGTATGGAAAATGTTTCTATGAACTTTTATCTTATTTTATATTATATGGATATGAAATTTATGAACTTTTGCACTGTTTTAACTTTGTATGGAAAATATTTTCTCTAGACTTTTATCTTATTTTACTTGACATGGATATAAAATTTATGACCTTTGCACTGTTTTAACTTTGTATGGAAAATGTTTCTATGAACTTTTATCTTATTTTATATTATATGGATATGAAATTTATGAACTTTTGCACTGTTTTAACTTTGTATGGAAAATGTTTCTATGAACTTTTATCTTATTTTATATTATATGGATATGAAATTTATGCACCTTTGCATTGTTTTAACTTTGTATGGAAATATTTTGTCTAAACGTTTACCTTATTTTACTTGATATGGATATAAAATTTATGAACCTTTGCACTGTTTTAACTTTGTATGGAAAATGTTTCTATGAACTTTTACCTTATTTTACTTAATATGGATATACAATTTATGAACCTTTGCACTGTGAGTTAGGTGAATATACAAACACATTTTCTTTAATCTTGACGTATTAGGTACTTTGACTTGGTGTAGATATAAGTTTCTGGACTTGGCATTGTTTTGTTTCAATATCTATATGTTCTCTAAACGGTTACGCTGTTTTGACGTTCTGTATGTTATCATTTATGAAAGTGTGCAGTGCTTTTACTCAGTATAAGTAGATTTATCATAAATATTGCATTGATATACATATATTTTTTAGATGTTATTCTGAGCGTTTAAACTACTTTGTGTTGGTACTGCTAAGTGTCTTTGACCTTTTTCAATATTTTATGTTGAGCCTTATATGTGTACCTGAGATTGGTATTTACTAAGGCTATTATATTTTTTTTTCTTTAAATTTTTTACACTGGTTTTCAAAACTCAAAGTTCACTGTTTCATAAGGACTGGAAAAACCCTTTTTGATGTTTTGTATGATACTATTATTTTTCTTAAATTCAGTAACATTAGCGTGGCAAAAGCAATTGACATTTTATTAGTATTATTTTGCAGCAAATGTGTATTTTGTATATTTTTTAGAAATTTTGTAATATTTCTGTATAGCCAATGTATTCAGTTAAACGATAAATAGATAAATTGATTATACTGCATGTAGTGCCTATAATAAGAAAAAGAGATCGAAAAGAGAACGACTTCTCTAAACAAAACATACATTTTTACTATTATTTGTATGTCATGTTTGATTGTTTTTTTACTCTTTACGTTTCTAGAGGTTTGTATTATTGAGTGGCCGAAGAGATGTTTAACGTAGCATTATGGGCGTAGCTTGACGTCTGGAATCTTCTCCCAAGTTTTAGAACAGTTTGAGCAATATAAAACGCAAGTCAGGCTAGAGTAGATTAACTTTTGAGTCTATTAGTAAGTTATATTGAGTCTGAAGTAGTGAGGAATTATTTGTCTCAACACGTTAGTCAGTTAAGTAGTTCAGAACAGTGGTTACTGAGTTTATAATGCGACGAAGAAATAGACACACGAGAAGTTCCGTATGTGCGAGAAAATTAGCATGTAAAATTCTTGTATTAAAGTCTATACAGTGAACATAGGCCTATCAAAGAATACGTAACATGTAGAACTCGTAGTCAGAGAAATAAATCTCTTTCGTTATCAATAGGTGGACTGGGCTTTGCATTCTTCTTTTAGTGAGATAATCTAAAAGAACCTACCAAATAGTAGAAACCATTACAGCAGTATATTTTCAAGAAGCCCTTATAAAGAATATGCAAAATGAGCGCTAAGTGGGAAAACTCCACTTTTTCGGCACAATGGAAATGCAGTATACTTCCCTGTTAAGAGTACTGAGAAACGATTTCATAGCAATAAAGCTGCCTGTCTTTTGAACCTCTACAGCATAATGAAGCACTTAGCGTTAAAGAAAAAACATTGACATAAAATTCACATGCGTATAGTTTCCCGCGGGGTTAATCTTATATTTTTAATCAAATCTTATCACACTGTTTATTTTACAAGTTGTTCTGCTGAGCATTATCCAAAACTTCAATAGTTACACAGTATAATTAAATGTAAATGTCAACGAGAAAGTATAGAACTGAAACGATCATGTTAATACAGAGCTCTGGATAATTTGTTAAAACGATAAGCTGCAACATAAGCTGTCTTAGATGCAACATTACTAAATAAAATATATCACACCACATTTTCATTTCAAATGTTTTATTTTCGCAGTTGAAGAGCAATATACATCATATCTCCTTTAAAGAGTATTTACCATCCTGCATACATACTTCAAATGTTTAATTACTCAGAAAACAACGTGTAATTAGGCTTAGTACATGTTCAAATCTACCTTTAAATCCATTATTCAAATGAGTTTACAACTGACCATCTTACGTATAATGAACTTTACTTTACAATTGTCTCATCAAACCTAATTACAAAAGTGCTTTGCTTGAGTTTATCATATCTTCATACATGTACACTTTTCTTGTTGATGTAATAACTGCTATTCTTGTTTTATTGAATCTCACGAATAATCGTACATTAAAGTGATCCGGAGTATACAAAATGCCTACTTTTTAGTCAAGGTTATAACAGAAAAACAGGCCTTTTAAATAGACTTGCCAAATAAAATTAGCGGAATGTGTATACAAGGGGATGAAGAAAAGAGCTTACATTTTGTTTCTACGAATATCGGATCGAATAAGCAGCGGTAAAATATCAGTTACACACTTTAAAAAAATATTAGAGTCTCAGAAAAATAGTTAAATCATAATATAGTTCAAAAGTATATTTTTGCACATTTTTCAAACATTAAACTTTCATACCAGTCGTAAGATTATTTTTTTAATATTTATAGATATGTATCGAAACTAAATGTTAATACAGCTTTAAAATGACAAAAGGTTTGTTCTGATACTAGTAATTTCGTTTTCCTCACTGGAGGAGGGGTTTGCTGTGTATCGCCCTGTATAATAATTCAAATTGTTTGTAAATATTTTCATTGACTATCTCTTTTAAAGTTTAATAATAAATTATATCAGCCGCTCTAAAATTTGAATATTTAATATTATATAAATCATATACTTAGGATCTATATAGAGAAGTAACAAAACATTTTGTGTTCAGGTTACTATACTATTTTGTGCAATTTTTTCTATTTAATTTATTACGACACATGCTTTGTGGGACAAGGATAAAATAATTAAATACTAAAGTCCCATGTATAAATCTTTTAGAATATTTAACAATTTACAGAAAAAATTTATCAACCTTTAATAAACGCTGCCTTTTTATAATCTGTAAACAACAAGAATAAAGGTGAAACATATCCGTGTTTTCTTTAGAAGTTTTAATTTTGTTACGATATATCAAATAGTATTTATGTAACAGGCTTACAATTGTTCATTATGCAAAATATATTGTTATAAAGTTGGTCGTGACTCATTAGAAAATAATTGGAGTGAGAGAGTATAGCCACCGCCTTTCATCGTTCAGCCAGTATGGAAGCTACAAGGCCTCCTATGGTTATGAAACGTTATAATCCGATAGACGGTGCAACGTTAAAAAGGAAGAGGACGGTTATGCGTAGGTTTGAGAAAGAAATGATAAAAACAGGAGCTTCACGAAAAAAAGAAGAATGAAGACCCGGAAATGAATAACAGAGATAGGCAAAAAAAAAAGAAGATAATATGCTGCCAATAATAAACAATTACCATTTGTAAACTGCGCATTAAAATTGCACATCAACCAACTAGAGTTACACAATTATGTGATGAACTTCACAGTAATTTAAGTCACGAGATTTATATAGATGGACTTTCTGCAAGTAGGTGCAAAAAAAGTAATTAGTTTCTGCTGACATGCATTACTACGACGGGTATGTGCCATCTCTATCAGAAGCTTTCCAGTCTGCCAGATAAGAATAAGCTGATTTTAACCAAAAACGTAAAAAATGGTAAAAGCAAGGGTGCTTTTACATGCACCATACTTATCTACTTAACTGTTTTTTTTAATACACTAGGTATACTAAATTCAATGTTACGTTTATATCGACATATTAAGTTTTAAACACAGTTATAAGATAATTTCTCTTTACAATTTATCATTCTCTCCACCCCCACCTCCCTCACATTTGTATTTTACAGTACGTACAAGGTAGTACTTCTTTCGGAGCTAATAACGCAGAGCAATGTTTGTCGCAATTGTTTCAAGTTAATGGTATTGAGACGAAAAGTCATTGAGCCCACGGCTAAAGAGATTGGAAAACTAATAATAATCAAAAGTCAAAGATTTTCTGTTTCAGGCATCGCGTTCAAATAGAAAGTAATAAATATTTTTGAATGTAGTTTTTAATACTGATTTCAGAAATATAAATTAATGTTTGGAGAAATGAAAAGAAATATTTTTTTTATTTTTATTATGCTTACGAAACAAAGGAAGTACGCTTACATATATGCCTATGTATTTAAAAGAACCGGAAGACATCAAGACAGTACAAAATATCTAGTAACGATGTAACAAATTCAATGTAAAAATTCAGAAATACTCTTAAATATTTGCTTAAAGAGATCATCATTTTCCTGCCTACGACTCCAAACGAACTCGCAGAGATACGAGTCAATCATGTTAGGATTGGTTCCACAATATCGCTTGTTACGTCTCTTAACCACATTCCAAGTATTTTCAATTTGTTGCAGATTTCAGAAATATAAATTAAAATTTGGAGAATTGATTTTTAAAGGGGACAGAATGGGAAAATGTTTTCATTAAAAAAAATGTTAGTGAAATTTATTTTTGATTTAAATAAATATGTAATTATTTACTAGTTAGTCTAACTTGATCTAACCTCACATAAACTGACATAACCTAGCCAAATAAAAAATATTTCTTTTCAGTTCTCCAAATTTTAATTTATATTTATGAAATCAGCATTAAAAACTACATTCAAAAATATATTTCTTTCTATTTGAACGGCCCCCCAGTGGTACAGCGGTATGTCTGCGGACTTACAACGCTAGAATCCGGGTTTTGATACCTGTGGTGGGCAGAGCACAGATAGCCCATTGTGTAGCTTTGTGTTTAATTACAAACAAACTATTTGAACGCGATGCATGTTTGCTGATTTATTTTGTTTGTTTTTTTTTGGGGGGGGAGAGGGTACTACCCAGCTTACATTTTGCCTTGAACATTGTGTGTCAGTTAAGGCTTGGGAAAATTGAGCCTAAAAGCCCTGACCTAGGGTATCGACTTTTATTTCATTTCATTTAGTTGAGCTGTATTTTGCGAACTGTTGGATACTCCTTGATATAGTCAAATCATAGCGTCAACCTTTACTTTTCTACGTAACTTCAGAATTAAAAATAAATTACTTTGGTTTGATCTGAATAATCCATCTCTATCTACAAGAGTTGGAATGCGTTGAAATTAATTAACCTGTAATTAATTACTCATGAATGGCGATATCCTTTTTGCTTAATAATTATTTGGGTTACTGTGTTCAGAGATTAGCCTCCTTGAGTCACGGCATGTGACTGGGGGGGGGAGGGTGTGTGCTCCACTTTGGTTGGTTGGAATGCACACTGTAACAGCTGACGGCATGTGACTGGGGGGAAGAATGTGTGCTTGACTTTGATTGGTTGAAATGCACACTGTAACAGCTGTGTTAGTAGACTAGTTTTGCAATAAAGAGTGCTCTAGAACATCTAACAAACGAATTGAGATTCTAACTCAGTGTTTTATATTACTTGTGTTAAATATTGTTAACGTTGCTTTTTTGCTTTAGAGACACTTAATTATCTTATTTATAGAAGCTGGAAATATGATAAAACTGTAGCAAGGTTAAATTACATCAAGAATATGTTGAAATAATTGAGTCATTCTTTATCTTTGATGGAAACGAGACTTATCTTTTTTTCTTTTTTTTTCTGTTTGGCGCTTGAGTATTTAGATTTAGTGTAGACTAAATATTAGACGAACAAGAACAGATCCAAGCAAAGCAAGGAACAACTTTTAGTAATTCCTCTACTTGGTTAAAACGCAAAAAAAAAACGGTGTTCTCGGTTCACAAAAATTCTTCACATTTTGTATTATTAGTCTCATAATGTGATAAAGCAGAAGAAATCCGACTGAACTTTCGACTTCGATCCCCTACCCTCGTCTCCATGCCAATGTGCACGCGTACTGCCCCTCGTTTATTTTCTGAAGTCATGATCTTTGACAATTCCCCACGAGTTTTACAACACAAATATCTGATTAAATACATATAACCTTGTCGAAATGAATCATGTGTAAACGCATACATCATGCCACAAACACAGCTGTAAATCTGAGCAAGAGTGAAAAGTTGGTGAATAGTAGTGACTGAAGGTATTGCGGTGGTAGAATGGAGGGTGAGCGAGATAAGAAACGGGAGCCAAAAGCATAAGAATAAAGTAAAGGCTATAACATTGCTGTTAAGTAGATGACGTTGCAATGTTTCGTCACGGCTTCCCAAGCTATTCTGCTGTGATAATGAGTGTGTGATACTCCGTTGTTCATAGACAGCTTTAGCAAAAACTGCACAAGTTAGAAATACAGGCACGAAAAACACAAAAAGCATGGTGCTGTTTTCAAATGTTTTCTGACAAAGATTCGGCCCTTTTTGCAAAATAACTAATGTAGTTACACAAGAGACGGCAGCAGCCCAAGTGCCCAATATGAGAGAAAGCAGTAACTGGACTCCACAGCAAGTATCGTAGAAATGGTTTTCTTTCCTGCAAGTCCGTAAATAGTTCTCTACAGAAATGCACAAGTAATTCATCACAGTGACCAGGAAACAAACAAGTGCTGTGTGCCACTCCCACTGACAAACAAAGTCTTCTTTTTGTAACCCTGCCAGTATGGCGACACACATGACTGGAAATAAAAGTGCACTAATAAGCAAATTAGCTAGTGCTTGATTCACTAGAAGAATATTTCCACGTTTGCAGAGCGTTTCTTGAACTACTAAAGAACTAATTTCAAAGATATTAATTGTAGTTCCAAAAACAGAAAATATCCCGTACAGAATCAGTGGTCCAACTTCATTATTTCTTGACTTCACATATTCAATTTTAGTGGAGTTATAGTTCGAAATATTTCCATTAGATGCCAAATCGTCACTCTGGGATTTGTAGGATGAGCTCTCCATTGAGGCAGTCTAAGCTTAGGTAAAAAAAAAGAAGATAGGATTGTATTAAAAAAGATATGAAAGCATAAAAATATTACACATACCTAAAATTTACACCTAGATATTAAATTAATGTTATGGAAAAAATTTTCTCTTCTTTTACATGTATTTTATTAATTTAGAATTAAAAATGTACACTCAGACGAAGTACTAACGCTATACACTCAGTTCTTACATCAGTTAGTTTTTAATAATAAAGCGACTGGGAATGGCCCAGTGATTAGCATGAGAAGTGGGGTATGCGCCCCGTTCCTTTAAAACGAATTCCGTTCTTTGGGACTGTGGGTGCGCTATAACATAGACTGTCAAGTCCAAATATTCGGGAAGATACACGTAGCCCAAGAGTCAGTGGTGGTTGTGGTTGACTAACTGTCTTCCTCCTAGTCTATCAGTTCAATTCAAACTTAGAAACGGCCTTATGTATATAGCCCTTGTGCAGCTTTGCACGAAATTCTGAAACAAACAAAATCTAACATTAAAATTAGGTCTGTTTTCACTTTGTAAACACGACTGCATGTAGCAGTTTTCAAATCAAAGTCGTGAGTACAAAGAGTGCTGTTGTACGTTTATATTGGTTGTGGTAATATCTGTACATTACTTAGTAAATACAAATTTATAAGAAAATAATTACTTGCACCGTGTACTGTTTTTGTGAGGCAGAATTCATTTTATCTTTTCTAATCATTCGATTATACTTACTAGCATAAAATATCCCGCGCTCCTCTGAGGGTTCTCTCATGATTCACAGAGGCCCAAGTGTACCAAACTCTTCCGTTATCCAAAATTACATCTCTAGCTACCCAAAAGGGGATAACTACCCGAAAATAAATAATGTTACGATACCCGCCTGTGGTACCTGAGTACGTATGAGAGAAAAGTATTAACACAGTTTCAAACATTGCGCCCCAGGGATCTCATGGGAGGGGGGGGGGTTCAAAGCCACACAATCCGATACCAGATTCGGGTTCAGCGACCCTTAAAACATACTATCAGACTTTTATCATGTCTTGGTAACCTAACAGGCGCGTTTTAGTTACCTTGATATAGGGCTACGTCATACAGACACACCCTGTGTCACCCCAAATGTTAAGTTTGGTCGTGCTAGCTCCAAAACTATAAGGGCTCAAGAAAAAATAAATATTGAAATTAACATTGTAAATTAATACAGAATATCGAGGATTTTGCCCCCCAGTGAGACAGCGATATATCTGCGGACTTACAACGCTAGAAACCGAGTTTCGATACCGTGGTGGGCAAAGCACAGATAGCCTATTGTGTAGCTTTGTGCTTAACTTCAAACAAACATGGATCTTACAACTATCCAAATGAAACTTGGACAATAAAATAATCATTATCAAAAATAACATTTAATTCAATGATATATTTCGGAAAACTTCCTATTTGTATTTATTAAAACAAAATACCACCGTAAACAATATACATTGTGGGGTAGTTTCTAGTAAGACCAAAAAGATAGATTAATTCAAAATATATACCTTATTACTTAACACTTACATACAGACGTATGTGTGGCATATTTTGTTGATCACGTCATGCTTAGACCTAATCTTAGGCGTATCGCCATCATATAACAGTTTTAAAAGTTCTTGTGTCATTCTCAAAATATCTCATATTGTTTTTAATTAAATGTCATACTATTTCCTGTTATACTGCTACGTTTTAATGCCTTTCTAACTACTTGCTCAATCTTTCATAATAGAGACTTTTTAAACTAGTAACGTAACGCTAGGCTTAAGTGTTAACACTGTCTGTTACACTTGTTCAAAACTAATCACGTTAAAAACATTAGTGTGAATATAATTCACGGTTATAAAACAGAAACTGAATTTTGACTTACAAAAAGCTACATATTACAAAACGCATTTAGTGTAAGCTTCGTTTACCAAATGAACTTCTTCTAAAATGATGAAATTCTGAAAAACATCAAAAATAGCTAATGGTTTGCGCAAAAGTTTGACAAGTAATATACAATGAGTTTTAAAAGAAATCTAAGGCTATTGTATCGAAAACTGCTCTGAATGACTCTCATTGACGTGAGGAATTGTCTGATAACTGACTCAATTCGTAGACAAGGATTTTCCGAAAATATTTACACACTGTAAATGGAAACTTTTCTTTAATTATATACATATATAAGTAATTAAATCGATACAAGAATTAACCTTCGAGATCTTGAGTGAAGTTGCATTATCCTTTCCTTATGGAAAGAAGAATAAGCGAAACAAAATCACTCAAAAACTTTATTTTTTGTTATCAGTGTAAACCGTGATTGTTTCATATCTTTTACTTATCACATTTTCTAGCAGGATGTTAAGCAGTTAAATATCTGAGTTTGCCAAATATAAAACTATTCTTCATTGCTTTATATACGAAATGCGAGTGTTACGTTTGCGAACCATACAGCAATATACCAAATCAAGTTACGCTCATGAGCTATTGCCCATAGCCATGACTAAAACATAAAATCTGTCTCAAAATTTGTAACAGATACATACAAGAGACGTGGAATATAGTTTTCTGGAAATATCATTTTTATAAACTGTGCGTAAAATATGAGAGGTATTAACATAAAGTAGTCTAACATTCGTAATGTTATTCCATAAAGTAGTCTGACATTTGTAATGTTATTCCATAAAGTAGTCTAACATTCGTAATGTTATTCCATAAAGTAGTCTGACATTTGTAATGTTATTCGGCACTTTTTTGTTACATTTCGCAATGTTCATCGAAATCGGTTGACCTTCTCTATGTCGTACGCTTTATATTAGTGATAAATATAGCTTATGAACCTATTAAACAATGTTTTACAAACAGAGGGCTAGATAAATGATAGAGATCGTGATAACTTACCTTGCACAACAACAATAAGCATAGCCAAAATACATAATAAAATTGGAAAAATAATCTGTATCATATATGAATATCTTTCCGTATAAAACTGGAGCTATTTTAGCAAACAATTTGATTTTTAGTTGTGTCTGGATTTTTATAAAAAAAAAACTTAAATGTTTAAGATGTTATGTTCTGTCTATAAAGTCCTTCCACGGATATAACTTTGCTAGTATAATCTATATCTTTAACGAAAAGTTGTATCCAGTACATGTACTATTCCTAAATATTTTCATTTACAAATAAAAACATTAATCAGTGCTAAATAAAGAATACTATGTCATAACCTTCTCTACTACTTTCAAGCGAAGTACATGCAGGCATACAAACTCATACTTGCTGTGCCACTTAGAAAGTATACCTATAATCTCCACAGTACATGTAGGCATTCAAACTTATACTTTCTGTAACACTTAGAAAGTACACCTATAATCTCTACAGTACATGCAGACATACAAACTCATACTTGCTGTGCCACTTAGAAAGTATACCTATAATCTCCACAGTACATGTAGGCATTCAAACTTATACTTTCTGTAACACTTAGAAAGTACACCTATAATCTCTACAGTACATGCAGACATACAAACTCATATTTGTCTGTACCACTTAGAAAGTATACCTATAATCTCCACAGTACATGCAGGCATTCAAACTTATACTTTCTGTGACACTTGGCAAGTATATTTATAATCTCTACAGTACATGCAGACATACAAACTCATACTTGCTGTGACACTTAGAAAGTATACCTATAATCTCCACAGTACATGCAGGCATTCAAACTCATACTTGCTGTACCATTAGGAAGGATACTTATAACCTCTACTGTACATGCAGACATACAAACTCATACTTGCTGTGCCACTTAGGAAGTATACCTATAATCTTTACTACAGAACGCTGATAGTCGTACTAAATGACGTTTTATGTTTTTATCATAAACAATACATTTACACGATTTGAAGATTTCTGTGCTTAACCACAGTAAACTCTACTTTCTGCTACATTAACTCATCTAATTAACTCTGTAAGAGTGATCAAAGCTAATTACAACCAAATCTGAAATGTGTTTCTTCAGTCGAAAAGTTCTTAATTCTTTGTTGGAAGTGAATATATGAATATTTTAGATTTAAATCTAAAGGACTTAAAATAACATTACGTGGAATGAGCACACTAGAAAGAGTAAGTATAGGTGCTTCATATAAAATGTCTTTAAAGAAGGAGCTAGAATGATTTCGATACTCTGAGTCCTTCAAAATGATATTTGACTTTTTCGTAGTATATTTATAAACGAAAGTCTTTAATGTCATGTGTATCCAACCGTTGTGATCACCAAATACTACTGATCTGCTGAAAGGTATCTTATCTTAAGACAAATGAAATATTCATACCATGGTATTTTCTCAGCCTGATTAGCCATTTCGGTTTCTGTCTAATCACGTATATATGTTTATCCACTTCATTAATTAATGACAGTCTACAAGCGGAAATCATTAACTTGTCACTCCTCGTGTGTTTATGTACAATCTTTCTATTACATTATTAACAAGAAAGTCATTAATACTTTTGAAAAAGTATCCACACACTTGTTTTAAATTTGCTTTGCTTTAAAAACAACTAAATATTTCAGTTTTTTTTGTAATTTGGTTACCTTTTATTTAAACCTACTCCAAATTAGTATGTGTGTCTGCGGGTGTCTACATTTATACAATTATATCTTTATTTCAAGAAAACGCAATAGTTATGTTAATTTTTTAACATCTAAACGCAAGATAGCATACCTCAACAAATCTTCTTAAGTTAGGTGGTATGTAACAAATTCCTGTGAAATAGGCCAAAAATAAAAAGATTCGCAATTCAAGGACACTCAAATAAGAGTTACAAACGACAATAGAGAATTGGTAAAATTTAATGTATTAAGAAAGGCATCTATGGAGATAATACCCACATAGTTGTAAGGGTACACCATTTATCAAAATTAATCTGTATTGGCAAACCTTAACTTTGAAATTATGTTAGAACTATCAAATAAAACAAAATTAAAAGTAGATATGGTTCAAGCCCACAACGTCCCATATATAAAACTGTCAATCACCTTCTGGAGATAGTTGTGGGAAGGAATTTATTTCTGATGAAACAAGAAGATAAAAACCAAATGAGGATCATTAAAATAATAAGATAGTAAAACAGGTAACTATATACATAGCCCACCGGGAGAAGAGACGCCATCCTACAGCCGCGAGGATCAAATGTACATTTTGACCAAGTCAAAGATAGGTGCTATTTTGTTTTATTTAAAGCATACGGTATATGTTATAAAAATTATATTTATATCATTATTATGTTGTCCTCCGGTGCAATAGTGCTAGATCTATGAACTTACAATACTAAAAAATCTGGAGTTTGATTCTCCGTGGTGAACACAGCAGATAGCTCAATGTGACTTTGCTTAAACAACAACAACCTTATTATGTTTAATTTATTATATTAATTCAGTTGAACGAAATTGATTATTAATTTTATTTTATTTCAGTTGCCAAAGAACATTTTAATAACGAATTATCAATTTTAAAACTTGTATGTTTCATGAAAAAAATATGAGATACTTATTTTATGATTTACTTAAAGTGTATCACATAAATATCTAACAGCCTGTAATACATCTATTATTATTATTTCAGGCGCGAATCAATTACGTCACATATAGAGTAGCACATTCGAGAGTCATCTCGAGAGAAAGTATACAAACGTTCCCTGGTGGAGGAACTGTTATAAATAAATCGTGTACTAAAAAGCTGACAAGTGATTCGGAAAATGATAAAGTCAAATCATTCAAAAAGAGATTTACCTAAGAAAAGGAAACAAACGAAGACATAACTTAATGATGAAGAATACAACAAATGCTAAATTAATCAACAATTAAAATTAATTAATAATTTCTTAAATATTTACAGAATGAATGAATGTCTAAGAAAGCATAGATCTGATGTGGCAAAAAGAAAAAAGAGAAAGCAATCAAAGGAAACCTAAAAACGGCAAAAAAGAAGCACTTGACAAATTTTTGCTTTCTACTACAGTCCCCCGGTGGGACAGCGGTATGTCTTCGGACTTACCACGCTAAAATCATGGATTCGATTCCCCTTGGTGGACACAGCAGCTGACAGCTCCCCCAATGGCACAGCGGTATGCCTGCGGACTTACAACGCTAGAAACCGGGTTACTAACCATAAAATATAGACAACTGAAGAAGGATAACCCTAGTAAAACATTGACTTCTACCAATAAAACACGTTATTTCTTTACATAACAAAAATCATTCTTGAAGACAATTCTTCTGGAGATAATTATTTTCGGAAAATGAAAAATATGGAAAAATGTCACGTCCATAGTTA